TGCGGTGAGAGAGACTCCTGCACACTTGGCTGCCGCTGACGTAGAACACTGGTAGTGGCCATGGCAGGCAGTGGCAGCTGGTAGCAGCAGCTGCGCAGCAGCAGGAGTACAGGCGGCAGTAGCAGCGCAGCAGCACTCGGGGCAAGGCGGCGCTAGTGCAGGACAGGGCAGCACGGGGCAGCGCACGCGGGTGGCAGCAGCACCTAGGGCGACGGCAGCAGGTGGTAGCACCTAGGGCGGCAGAAGGCAGTAGCTCCTAAGGCAGCAGCACCTAGGGCGGCAGCGGCAGGCGGCACTTGCGTGCGGGTAGGGCAGGCGCGGGCAGCGCGAGCAGGGCAGGGCAGGTGGGCGTGCAAGGCAGCATGCTCGGGGCAGGGCACGGGTCGTTGGGCAGCAGGGCGGCTGGGCGCTGGGCAGTAGGGCGCGCTAGGGCGCTGGGCAGCAGGGCGCGTTCGCGTGCTGGGCAGCAGGTTTTAAGGTTTTTATTATGGTCGTAACCATTGTACAGTGCCTACACAATTATGGCAAAAACACCAAAGCCGAAAGGGCCTATGCTAAACAGCATTAATTGCCTATTCGTTGCCGAACAGCACGTAACCCTCAGGTAACATGGTAGCACCGTGCCCAACTTCAGGAGGGAAATCTGTTTACGGAGGCCTGTAGGCATACCCCAGGAACCACGAGTGAACTAGAGAGGGGTGAAGTGAGGGGCGGCCCCGCTCGTCGAATTTCAGCATACGCGTGGAGTTTGCTAGCTTGACCCTGTTAGCCGAGCGTTTCTGTTTTTTAGCTGACCAATATTTCCGCCAAGCAAAGTAGACTCTGCAGGCCGTAAGGAACAGTGCGATGATCCGTTGTAGGGCCGAGTTGTTATCCGTGCTCTGTCTTCCATAGTGCTGCTCACAGCGGTCAGTCCAGAGAATGTGTGCAGCCGCACCGATTAAGATGCTCCAAGGGGCGATTTGTCCAGCAGGTCCCTGCGGCGGAAAGAAGACCACGTCGTGGTGGATGTTGGTGGAGAGATGTCTTTGCGCCGTTCGTTGAATTGCCTCCACCACCTGAGGCGCGGCTCCACAGTCGAAGACGATGTGAGGTAAGGACTCGATTACTCCCGTGTTGCATCGTACACATTTCCCCCGGGCTTCTAAGAACGGCATTCTTGAACCGGAGGGGAGGGCCCTGTAGTAGAGATGAAGAAGAGTGTCCCTGTGGCGGGATAGCTGGTCTTTGAGGAAGGTGTGCTGTAGATCCGGAAGAGAGTCGCGAGGAGAGTGAAGCACACGGTTCTACCCACTGATATGATTGAGCGGACGCCGAACGTAAAGGGCTTTCTTGATGACTGCTAGTGAGGGTTTGCGAGAGATGAGCTCGTGCCGGACACCCAACGCTGCGCCAGAGGAAAAGGGGCCGAACAACCAGTCGTCCCGCACACACACGTTGATGACTGAGGACTTTGGAAGCGTGCAGAGGCGTGTGCATCGCTGCTCCACTCTACCACCTAGTAGAACTGCATGGGATTTGAACCGCACCATCCCGTCAGGAAGGATTGCCACCACTTGAAGTACCCGCTGCAGATTCTCCCGCTCGTTGCTGATAATCGCCCATTCGTGAAGTTGAAGGTAGCCTTCCGCAGGTTGAAACGATTCAAGCACCGACCACCAGTTGTCGTCCATGGCGTTGTAGATATCCTCGATAATACTGAACCCGCAAGGGAAGTCCTTCGGGGGGAAGTTTGCGCAGAACTCCTTCTTGCTCATTCGCCGCGTGCCACCTTGGGTAGGTATGAGGATGTTGCCGATTCTCAGCTGTTGTTGCAGGAGGAAGGTTTCGTTCTTGAGTCTTCCGAACGGAAAGTCGGAGCCTTTCCTTTTCAGGAACCGATTGAAAGCCAGCGGTTCTGCCATTAGGACCCATGGTTCCAACTGGGGGGGAGTAATAACGACCTGAAGAGCCAAAACACTTCGAAGTTCCGCGAGCACTCTGCAGGGGATATCAGGTGGCAAATGGTCCTTGATGTCCGGGTGTGCAAGAAAGCAGTGAGCTCCATAAGGGAGAGGGATGCACTCTCGACCTACTGCCTCGAAAGGTGTGGGTCTGAATCTTCTGACCGCACGCTGAATGTTCAGGGCCTCGATTTGAACGGAAGTGGCAGTCGCACCCACCCCCCCATGTGCCTGCCGATTGTACAGAAAATTCTTGGGGATCATTCTTGTGGTCAGGCCGAAGTCTTTATACTTGGAAGAGGAAAGGAAATTGCCGACCGTTATATCAAGCTGAGAGGTAACCATCGGGGGAGGAGGTTGAAACCGTCCACCAAAGGAGTATAAGGAGGAAAGACGTTCTGCGGTCAGGAGGTTCCTGCACTTGGTGGTGGCTTTGATCTTGGCAAGGAAGGCAGAAGTGGATCGTACTATGCCAAGGATGTGCTCCCAGGTTTTTTCACCGGGTGTTTCCTGTTCAACATAGACCCCAAGAATCCTTTCGGCCTCATTCATCCCTCGGATAGGGATAGTGCCAGCGCCTGCAACCTGATCCGGTTGTACATGGATGGGGATGAGTGAGCATTTGTCCCAGTTGGGATGCTCCCCTGAAACTTCCGCAAAGGTAGAAATCATGTCCACTGCTGTGACAAGCTCTTGGTTGGAACTGAGAAACAGGGACACGTCGTCCGCATAGCAGGCCATGAGTTTGCGTTGGGTACGGGACAGAGCGAAGCCGGGCAGAGCGGTGGACAGATGTCTCTGCAGTACTTCTCTTACACAGACAAACAACAGGGGGGCGAGCAGACAGCCCTGTCGCATCCCCGTGACAACGGCGAAGGTGGGGCCATCCATATTATTGACCGATACACGGGTGAGTGTGTTGGAATGGAGCAGGCTGACCCAAGTCACAAATTGTGGTGGAAGACCAAGCTGGGATAGGCATTGCAGCATGAACTCCCTGTCAACCATGTCATAAGCTTTGCGAATGTCCACGGTAAAAAGCAGCATGGGGGTTTGTTGCACTACCGCCCAGTCAATGATATCCAAGGTGTCATTGATTGTGTCACCGATCTTCCTCCCATTAATGAACGCAGCTTGAGAGGCATTAATGATGTGGGGCAGTACGTGTTGCAGCCGGTCTGCGAGGATGAGAGCGAGCACCTTGTAATCGGCATTCATCAAAGTAATGGGCCGAAGGTTCTCAACTATCTCCGTATTCCCCTTCTTAGGGATAAGGACTGTCCTGCCGGTGCGCAAGGAAGCCGGAAGCTCTTGCGAGTCCCAACATGTTGAGAAGAGCTTAAGTAGTGCAGGGGCCATCTTATCTTTGTATGCTCCGAGCAAGTCCCCAGGTAAGCCATCAGGACCGGGTGTCTTACCCCTAGAGAGTTTGGAGATTGCAGTTTCAACCTCCCTTAGCGATATCTGATTAGCCAGCTTGATGGAGCTTTGTTGTGAAATGATAAAGGGGTGAATGTGGTCCCAGAAGGCTGGGGACCGTTTGATCAGGGTTACCCCACTGTAAAGTGAGGAGAAGAATTGCGTGCAGAGGGAGGACATCTCTCTGAGGTCATATGTTTTGTCGCCAGAAGGGAGGGTAAGCTGGGGAATGAGCGAGTCCTTAATCCTGCGATTTAGGCCGAAGAGCAGTGAGGAGAGACCCATTTCTCTAGGGCCTTCAATCTTCAGTTTTGCTTTGAGTGCTATTTCATTTGCCCTGCAGGAGTCGTACGCAACGAGGCAGTTTTCGAGATGGGCTAGGCGGCCGATTGAGGTGGCATCCAGAGGTTGGCGCAGCATATGCAATTGTAATCTGCAGATTTCATCCTGGAGGTGTGAAGTCGTTTTGGAGACTCTTATACGTTCTTCCTGTGAGAACCACTGGAGTTTAGCGCACAGCCGTTTTTTCCATGCGTCCCACGAGGGCGGATTGAACTGGTCAGGGAGTGCCGAGGTCATTTCTGTAATGGTGGCAGATACGAACGATTTGGTTGAGGTAGGCGCCATGGCCTGGGGGCAATGTTGGGATTGTCAAACCGCAGAGAGATGAATGGAGCACCAGTGTGGTCAGAGAGGCACGGGTTGACTGATAGGTATTTGGACTCCCCGATTCGTTGCTTCCAAGGATCCGACAGATAGATTTTGTCCAGTCTGGAGCCGGCTGGGAGGGGCCCACTAGTCCGAAGCTTAACAAAGAAAAACATAGCCAGGTTGGGGTGAATGTGCCTGAACGAGTCAATCAGGCCTTGCTCTTTCATGAAATCGCTGAAAAACTTTGCCTCGGTTTGTTCATGTGCAGTGAGATCCCTGTTACGGTCAAGATCCATATCGACATTGTTAAAGCCGCCTGCTATAATGGTGCAGTCACTAGCAGAGGGTTCCTGAAATAGGGGTGCGATGTTTGATTGCCACCAACGCATGCGGTCGATATAGTAATTGGGGGCGTAGATACCGAGGAGTCTGATTTGTTCCTGGAGATAGCTGCAATGAATCAATAGGTGCCTGCCATCACATGAGGAGGAGCGTGAAGAGATGCGGATTTTTGGGTGGAAAAATAATATGGCAGCACCTCCAGGTTGGGGTTTACCATTTGCAAACACCGAGGGAGATTGCGCATAAGCGTTGGGTCGGAGTTTATAAATGAGACGTGTGAGATTATTAGTGAGCCTGGTGTCAGTGAGGATTAAGATGTCCGGGGTATTCCTCATCCAAGATTTGAGCAGATCCATCTTCTCGATTTTATTCAGCCCATTTACATTCATGCATAAGATTTTAAGTTGTGTTAACATTATAAAACCAGAAACAGCCCCCTAGTGTGCTGGTGCACACCCATCCACGGGGGTAGAGTTTGTTGCATGTGAATTCCCATGTTTTTAGCTGTGGTATTGGAAGAGAGGCAGATTGAGACAAAGAAAGTATCCTTTATGCACACCCCGCATGGTAAGAAAGCACATTGCAAGAGTATGTTATCATGGAAGTACGCAATGGCTAAGACCCTCTGAGGCAAGCCAGACATGTTCACACCTCCTCGGTCAGGAAATTTGCGATGGCACCCCTCTGAACAAACAGGTGAGCCGGGGTGTCCCCCAACTCCACAATGGGAGCTGCCTTCTTGACGGTATCTAGCAGACGACTCTGGTGAGCGGAAGTTTTGAGGTGCTGCATGGCACTGTCCAGCGCCCAGCCGCAGCAGAAAGAGCACACTCCGCAGGTGCAGGCCTCGACGTCTCCCTCGAGTCCTATGTACAGGAGACCAGGGTCCTGCTTGAAAGCGTGAGCAGCAGGGTTCTGACCGATGAGCTTCCCTGTCAAAGCAGAAACGAGGCATACCCAGGAAGGGAAAACGCAGACAGAGAGTGGGAAAAACAAAGAAATGGATTATCCCCACAGGGAGATCACCAACATGGAGAGGACCAAAAGGGTAAGCAGTGTACCACCTAGGATTGGCCAGAACGCGATTAAAACAAAGACCGGCGGCAAGCCAAACGAAAGCTTTCGTCAATGAGCGGGTAATGAAATCGAGAAGGGGAAAGGGCAAAGCCATACCGTTCACATGCTGCAACTAGCCCAGCGAGATCTGGAACTGATTCGCCAGTCGACCTTTGCGTGCGGTCGCGAACCCACTGTGATCAGGGGCGCGGTGGTTGCTGTTGCACACTCCGCAAGAGTGTGATGAAAAAATGAGGATGAGCAGATCACGGATCCCGGGAAGCCAAATGAAGGCAGGGACTTGCAGGAATTGCGGGTCATCATCCACCGCGATCGTAAGGATCGTACGCCTTATGGAAGTGGCGGAGCTCCTTCAGCCACCTCCTTGCCGGCGGACGGCGGTCCTTGGTGAGAAGGGTGAGGATGTCGGCTATCGCAAAGCCGATAGGGACGTTTCGGATGACGAGGTGCGTAGTGCCGGCGGCCCTGGCGGCGGAATATTCGGGCTCGGGGTCCTGATAGAACTTGATCTCTGCGGACACACCCTCAGCACGGTACGTGAGCGGAAGCACGTTACGGAAATGAAGAGCCGCATCCTTCGTAGGCCACTGCAAGATGTGCCTGCAATACGACCTACGAGGGAGGCGCAGGATTTCTCCTGGCGCATGATCAAACTTGGGAACCACACCACCGAAATCACGGCCCCGAAGGCCTTGGCGGATGCGGTCCACAATCTTATAGCGGTGCGACTCAGCAGAATCAGGAAAGATAATAGTGGTCAAGCAGTCCGTGTCACGAACAAGAGAGTCGGCAACCACACCGATATTCTCACGGTTGCGCCGGAGGCGGTTGAGAGGGCCAGAAAGCGCGGGGCCTGTCGCGATGCTTGTTTCGGTTGCAGACCTCGTCTGCTGCGAGGTAGCAGCGGGCTGGGATGTTGGGGGAACCGAGTTGCCGCGAGGCAACGGGGCTCGGGGACCACTGGCAGAAGCCGGCGGGGCTGAGGAAGAGCCTTCGCCGCACAACTTCTTGGCAGGGGGAGGATTAGAGGGACCAGCAGGAGATTCTGGCTCGTCTGCAAAGAAAGAATCCACAGAGAAGGAAGCGTCGAGCTCTTCCTCCCCCATCGGCACATCAGTGTTGTGCGATTGGGCCATCTTGCCAAGTGATGACTTCCTCCATGGCGGAGAGGGGGACTTATACCGAACGGAGCGATCTGATGTGAGAAGACGCGATCCGGCGAGGAGAGAGCAGCCGAGAGGCCAATTTGAGGAAAGAAATTTGTGGCTTTGGCAATGGCCGCTGCGCACAGTTGCATGGTTGCTTTCGCAAGTGAACACGTAGGAGGAGCGGCAAAGTGGAGGTTTACACGTCTCATCCAGAGCTTCCCACCCCCAGACTGACGAGCCAAGGAGCCTGCATGTACGAGCGAGCCAAGCTCTAACACCAGGAGAGAGCCAGATGTTCCAACAACAGGTCAGCAGCAACCCATCAACCCTCAACAGACTGCTTGGAGAAACATCCTTCCGCGTAAGTGAGTCAAGGAAACAGTTGCAAAAACAAAAACAAGAAACCTTACCAGGTTGAGAAGTAACGGATCCACAAAGAGGCCGTCGCTGGTTGGTCAGCCTGGAGCCATCTGAAAATCGATGGCGAAATGGAAAGCGCAGAGGCACGAGTGACAGGAACGGAATCCTACCAGTGGGTGAAACTACCTTGAAGTGTGAGCACCAAACAGTCCTCCTGAAGACAGGTGCAGCATCCACGCCTGAAACATGGGAACGACCAAGCTTACCTGTCACAATCAGACCAATGAAGAGCACAAGCTGGAGTTGGATGAACCCAGCATGCAGGCTGATGTGGCCTCTAGGCCAAGAAGCAGGTCAGAGTTCCATCGGTCAGCAGGAACCTCACACTTCCTTGTTTCGGGGGGACCAGTAAGTAGCAAGCACTTCGATAACGGGAACAGGTGTGCCGCATCTATGACAATCCGCATGCTGGGCAGCAGAGCGCGCTGGCGCGCTGGGCAGCAGGGCGCGCTGGGCAGCAGGGCGCGCTGGCGCGCTGGGCAGCGGGGTGCGCTGGCGCGCTTGGCAGCGGGGCGCGGTGGCGCGGTGGCGCGCTGGGCAGCGGGGCGCGCTGGCGCGCTGGGCAGCGGGGCGCGCTGGCGCGCTGGGCAGCGGGGCGCGCTGGCGCGCTGGGCAGCGGGGCGCGCTGGCGCGCTGGGAAGCGGGGCGCACTGGCGCGCTAGGCAGCGGGGCGCGCTGGCGCGCTGGGCAGCGGGGTGCGCTGGCGCGTTGGGCAGCGGGGCGCGCTGGTGTTGTGGGCAGCAGGGGGCGCGGGCAGCACACGGGCAGCGTGCAGGGGGCAGGGCAGGGCAGCAACGCGACGGCATGCTGGGCAGGGCAGAAACGATGGGCCGGGCAAGAAAAAAACAGGGACTGCTGGGCAGAGCGGAACGAATACGGTGGGCCCTAAAAATTTTGGTCCTAACCGGGACCTACTCTGAAACCATGTCAAGAAGTGATGTGTGCATTGAGTAGGATGAGAGTACAAGTAGGAAACCCTAAGGGGTTGTACTCACTAGAGTATGCCCCACTACAGCCTAGAGCATACAAAATATAGTTTGACATGAGATACAAATAGCCAACCATAAAAGGGTTGTACTCTCTAAAGAGCAACTCATTGTAGCCTAACAATTAACAGGCACATTAATAATTTGGCACGCCCCCATAGGCTAGGTGAGGGCATCACACAAGCAAGAGAAGTAACAACTCAGGGCGGACCGTAGAATGCCAGCTATAGGACCCGGGGGACTCTCTACAAATGCAAAAAAAAATGCTAGGGTGGCAGTAGTTTTTATGTCCCGAGTACCCTTATTTATCAACTACCAATCTGTTATTTAGAGTGTACGGCTCAATATGGGGCGGGGGGGTCTTATATTCGTAACAAAAAACACCCCTCGTGTGCAAATTTTGCGCGAGCGGCACGTCAGATCTGTGTCAGCACTCTAGTCTGACACAAAAAGTGTGTCAAAAATCGAATTTGTGCCAGTAAAAGCTGACGCGCAATAGCAATAACAACTACCGTATCGCCCCAGATAGAAGCGCAGGCCTTCTACCAATTCACCTGTGCTCTCGTCACATGTAACGCCGAGGTACAGGCTTGAAAGGATGTGCTGGAGTTGCGTTGTGTGCAACCACGTGGCCATCGACTGCGTCAGCTGCCCGAAGCCGTATCTGTGGCGCATGTGAAACAAGACAATGTTAGACATAAGAAAATGCGAAACACAACTACAGCTTACAAGTTTTGAAACCGGTTACTCACGTAGTGTAATACCGTCATCGCCCGGATACAAGACAGTGTCAAATTGAAGACAGGGGGTGCCTTTAAAATGGGTGCATCTTATAAATAGGTGCTCCTGACTATAAGACGCATGTCGGTGTGTATGCGTGTAGGGGTTAGAGGTAATCTTATGACGAGGGGGAATCTTCTAAACAGTTCTTTGTCCATTGATAAGAATTATAAGACACCCTAAACCACCCCAATTACAAGACAACCCATGCATTGCTTCTAGTGTATAAGATAAGACAAATATGTCTTATATCCGGGCGATGACGGTGTGAGAAGTGAACGAGAATGATTGAACTATGAAAGAGTTGGGTACAAGTACTAACCCTAATTGGGTTGTACCCCTTATGGGCTACCCCACTACAGCCTACACAAATGTATAAGCTATAATGTTCTGACACACCCCCATAGGCAAAGTGGGGGAGAACAAGGGGTCACAAGACCAGTCAAGCAAAGCAAAGCAAAGCAAGCTCAGGGTGGATCACAAAGTCACCACACATTCCGAGCACAAGTTCAAGGCCACAAGGCCAGTTCACATGCAGGATTACATATATATATAAGACTAGACAAGCAAGAGCAGGTGTATATATATATGCAACAGTACAAACAAGGTCAAGGGGTGAGCAAGTGAGGCAAGGTAGGCACAAGACCCAGCTGAGTACAGAAGCGCTGATGATCACAAGGCGCAAGTGCCTTGGTGAAGATATCAGCAGTGTTTGCCTCAGAGGCCACGTACGCAAGTCGCAGCTGACCACGCTGCTGTAGCTCACGAGCAAGGAAGTAGCGGAGAGCAATGTGCTTCGTTCTGTGCTCCAGTCTCTGCTCTCGACACAAGGCCAGCATGGCCTTGTTGTCTACGTACAGCACTGGAGGAGAACGAGGCGGCTCTCCAAGGTCAGTCAGCAGGTAGGTGAGCCAGCGAAGCTCCTGTGCAGCCATGGCCCCGGCGTAAATCTCAGCCTCACAACTGGAGCCGAGAACACAAGACGAGCGGGTAGCCCGCCACGAAACAGAGCCGGAACCAAGGCTGAAGGTGTAACCCTGTGACGACCGCTGCGTAGCCTGGTCGTCAGCCCAAGAAGCGTCTACGTGCCCAGTGAGGACCACTGGACTCTGCCCTCCAAGCACAAGCCCCATGCCCGACGTACTGCACAAGTAGCGCAACACCCTCTTCGCTGCAGCCATGTGCTCCGGTCTGTGTCTCCCAGGAGCAACATAGCGTGCGAGAATGCTAAGAGGGTATGCAAGGTCAGGTCGTGTGCAGGTCATCAGGTACATGAGGCAGCCAACAAGCTCTGGGTACGGGCCACTCGACTCTATGGACTCATCCGAAGGCAGAGCTGAGAGCGAGTGGCGAGTAGGCAGAGGAGTGGCCTGAGGCGAGGAGTACGTGAAGCCGAAGCGCTGAAGGACCTGCTGCACCATGTGTGACTGAGTCAGGGTAATGGTGCGGCGTGCTCTGTCCCGGGTGATCTGCAAGCCAAGGTAGCTGCGCAGTTCACCCAGGTCTGTGCACGTGTGTCTTTTCTGCAGCTCCGACTTCACGTGGGCGAGTCCCTCAGTGTCAGAAGTAGCAAAGACCAAGTCGTCTACGTACACGAGAACGTAGAACGGCGGTAGAGTGGTGTCGGTGCGTAGAAACAGCGATGGGTCAGCAGTAGAAGGAGCAAACCCAAGAGCAGCAAGAGTAGTCCTCAGTGTGTCGTGCCACTCATGGGGTGCCTGGCGGAGACCATAGACTGGCCACCGGAGGCTCCACTGGGTACCAGCAGGAAACGACCCAGTGAAGCCTGGTGGGCGGCGCAGCCAGATCTCCTCGTGCAGGCTGCCCTGTAGGAAAGCAGTGCTGAAGTCAAGAGAGTGAAGCTCGTAGTCACGCTGAGCGGCGACGTGCAGCAGAACCCAGAGAGTGGTCATCTTCGGGGTCGGAGAGAAGGTCTGGAAGAAGTCAACTCCCTGTCGCTGACTGAAGCCTCGTGCAACGTAACGCGCCTTGAAGACAGGCGGAGAACCCGGCGGCCACTTTACCCTGAAAATCCACATGCCACTGACTTCACGTGGGCGAGTCCAGCAGTGTCAGCAGTGGCAAAGACCAAGTCGTCGACGTACACTAGGATGTAGAACGGCGGCAAAGAGGTGTCGGTGCGCCGAAACAGCGACGGGTCGGCAGTAGAGGGAGCAAACCCAAGAGCCGCAAGTGTAGTCCTCAGTGTGTCGTGCCACTCACGCGGTGCCTGGCGGAGACCGTAGACTGGCCGCCGGAGGCTCCACTGGGTGCCAGGAGGAAAAGACTCAGTGAAGCCAGGTGGGCAACGCAGCCAGATCTCCTCGTGCAGGCTGCCCTGCAAGAAAGCAGTGCTGAAGTCAAGAGAGTGCAGCTCGTAGTCGCGGTGAGCAGCTATGTGCAGCAGTACCCGAAGAGTGGTCATCTTCGGGGTGGGAGAGAAGGTCTGAAAGTAGTCAACTCCCTGCCGCTGACTGAAGCCACGAGCCACGTAACGCGCCTTGAAGACAGGCGGAGAACCCGGCGGCCGCTTCACCCTGAAAATCCACATGCCACTGACGATGTTCGCCCCAGGCGGGGGAACCTCGTCAACGTAGGTGCCTGTGGACTTCCAGGAAGCCATCTCTGCGTCCATAGCTGCCTGCCACTGAGAGGAGTAGGGACCCTCTATCGCCTCCGCGTAAGAGCGCGGAGTCGGGATGTCAAGTGCATCCGGGTCTCCCTCAGGGGTAAGCAGTACGGACACGAGATGAGGTGAAGCAGCAGCCAAACACTGGAACTCCTCCTGCCTGTCCTCAAGGA